GGCACTGCACTCATATGGACATACCTATACAGACATCAAACATACACTCATAATTACAAATAAAATAAAATCTTAAGGAAAAAGAACTTCATGAGATACCACCTCACGCCAGTTTGCATGACTACTGTCAAAAAACAAAGAAAAAGATAATAAATGTTCCTGAAAACTATGCTGTGATCCCATTCCTGGAGAAATGAAGTCAGCACACAAAAGAGACCAAGGGATATCTGCCTGGGTCCATGTCAGTGTCTGTCTGTCTGTGACCTGCCACTTCCCTCCCCAAGTTTCACTGTGATCAGGGAAACGATCCAAGAGCACAAAGCTTCAGGGCTGGCTACATAGAAATTCCTTTGCAAAGTAGCAAAGCACTGTGACCTTTACAATAAGAATGAATTCTATTGGCTGATAAACAGAGTTCAGAGCTAGGGCCTAGAGTAGCAGACAGTTCTCAACCTGTGGGTCCTAATCCCTTTGCGGGATGGATATTAGCTATCCAGCATATTCGATATTTACATTATAATTCATAACACTATCAAATTATGGTTATAAAGTAGCAACAAAAATAATTTAGTTTGGGGGTCACCACTACATAAAGAACTGTATTAAAGGGTCACAGCATTAGGAACATGGACAAGTGGGCTAGAGGAACCATCAGTGATGAGCATAAGGATAGATTCTATTTGTGGAGAATGCAAAGTACATAGGGTCTCTTTCAAAGGAATCTGTTCTATTCCCTGAGAGTCAAAACTCGTGATACTGGGGGACACGGTGCGAGGCTAGCTAACATTAGAATAGCAAAGGGTCACTAGGCTGATGGAAAACATATCATTCAGGCTTTCCAGGTGACTAAACATCATTACTTCCTTCCACTGAAGAAAAGAGGTCTGCGTGATTGACAATAATGTTTTCACTGATGCTTATAAGTTGTGTTTCCTATATCTGCAAGCCTAGGTTTGCTAGGTCACTTCTCACACCAGCTAAGATATGGAAGCAGCCTAGGTGCCCATCACCAGATGAGTGTGTCACACACAATGGAGATGGAAGGCTATTCCCAAGTCTGTCATGGAATTGCAGGACATCACATCATGGAAAATAAGCCACATATAGAGAATAGTCATTGTATGTTCATGCCATATGTAGAAACAAACAAACATAAAGTAACCTGAGAGGAAACAGGAATACCTCAGAACAGGAAAGGAAGTAGAGAGCTAGACAGAACATGATGATAAGAAGAAGGAATAGACATGATCCATACATAATTATGCATATATGGAAATGTCTTGGTGAATCCCAGGAATGTGTACAATTAGTATTTGCTAATAAGTGAAGCAAGCAATAGTAATGAAAGATAGTCTATTGTATTTTTTTTCACAGCACTGATGACTTGTTTTGGTTTGCTGAAACAAGGTCTCATGGATCCCAGGCTAGCCTCAAACTCACTATAAGGCAAAGGACAACCCTGGCTACTGATTTTCCTGCCTCTCCAAGCCCAGGGATTGTGGGTGTCCACTATTGCACCTGGCTCACAGCTCTGGTTTTTCAGTCTGAGCCCAAGAAGCCATAGGAGTAGGAACCACAAACCTTGGCTGAAAACAGGAATCATGCAACGAGATGTTCCTGGGCATCCCCAAAACTGACTCAGCGGGTGTGAGAAAGAGCACAGAAACTTGTATTTGCTTTTAATGCAAAAAGCAAAAATTCCAAGGAATCTTCAGTGCCCCAGGGTGCAGCTGCTTTATTTGCCACAAGCACAGGAGTGGGCGGAAGTTTGGAAACCTCAATCCTATACCAGTTCCACCCTGCTCCCCAGTGAATACTGCATCCAAGACTTGCAGGATGCTGCCTCTTGGCATTCTGAATTTCTATACTAATGGGGAATTTTCCTTTGAGATTTGTAGGTGCACTCTGGACCAACACTGAGCTGAGAGCTGCCTTTGCATATCAGGACTCTCTCAGAGCAGGTGGGTTGGTTATAAGTGAATTATTTGAAAACTAAAATATCCAATAAATCTTAACATCACATTAGAAATGAAAAACTGGGCCCTCATACTTCTCCATCCTGCAAGTCTGTTTTATCTCTAGCCAGATGGAGAATGAGAAGGTTCTCATCCATCAATTTTCAACCTTATCAGGTTTTGCTGTGAGCAAGCTTGTCAAAGTGCTCCGTGGTTACTTTTAAATATACAAAGGCAATTTCTTCAAAATCTTAATGAGGTATAGGCATTCAGTGATACAAGGACAATTTCCAGAATCAGCATGAGATGTGGTTGTAGCAAGCAGTCAAGGGAGGAGAGCGGTGTGGTGCTGGGCCTCCTACCCCACTGCAGTTTATAAAGTTGCACTTCACGTCCTCTTTCTGCAAGAGTTCATTTGAACAACAAATGCAATGTGAACAATAAAAGACAGAAGGAAGGAAGGATGCAGAGATGGCTCAGTGGTAAGAACTCATACTGGTCTTCCAGAGGACCTGAGTTCAGTTCCTAACACTGACATCAGGCGGCTGCCAGCCACCTGTAAGTCCAATTCCAGGAGATCCAACACACTCTTATGATCTCCATCTCTATGGATACCCACATGCTTGGCATTTACACATATGCATAATATAAAAATAACAAGGACTGAGAGATGGCATAGCAATTAAGAGTGTCTGTTCTTCCACAGGACGCAGGTTCAAATCCCAGGACCCAAAGAACAGTTTGTACCTGTCTGTAACTCCAGTTCAAGAAAATCCAATGCCCTCTTCTGGCCTCTGTAGACACCCAGCATGCCCTTGGTGCACATGTAGGCAAAACACCCATACACATAAAAAAATAATAATAACAAGAATGAAAAAATCTTGAAGAAAAATAGAAGTCACTGAAATGAGACAGTCCTGCACAGATGGCACACATGAAATTTAGCACATGGAAATTGAAGGCAGGGAGGTCAGATATTCTGGGTCATTTTTGTCTACACAGTGAGGTCAAGGTCCACTACGGCTACAAAATACAGTGTCTTAAAAAAAAATAAAAATAAAAAAAAGACCTCTCTGGAGAATGGACAAAGAAGCCAGGGCTTACACTGAGAAGATATTAGGGCATGACTAGGACAGCACAGACATGCTGCACGTCTCTAATCACACCTAGGGGTACACAGGAACAAACTTGCCCCTCTTTAGCCCCACTCAGGCTTCCCAGGTGCCAGGTTCATTGCCACCTCCACCCTGGAGCAGGTATCTTCTCTTCCCTCTACCAGGAATGCATCTCTGCCTCTCCCACCCCAGCACCAGGAGCTCTGACTTCCTCTGTGAAACCTTCTTTCTTCCCCAAAGGTCCAGCACCATAGAGGCTGAGCTCCTTTGGGAAATCTGGTCTACTCCACTGTCAGCACTGAGTTTACTTTACTGAGTTCTACATGCACCTCCATCGCAGCTCTACACAGAAGCCATCAGAGAGTGTCTGACTTGACTCTGCCTGCTGTGCCCAGGGCCCAGAACAGTAGAGTGATGAAATAAATAGTGGTGACAAAGTCTCCTTGTTGGTGGCCCATGGAGACCACAGCTATGCCACCAGGAAACAAAAAGGTCAGCATTTTAAAGCAGCCTTTACAGCAGCCTTGGGCAAGAGCTACTAGCATGCCCAAGCCCCTCTACCCAAGGACCTTCTGGCCCCTTTCTCTAAGGGGTCAGTCGGCTTGAAAGGAAAAGACAAGCACGCTTATCGGAGCAGAGGTTGCTGTTGATCAAGGAAGAATGAAATGTGTAGCTTGGCTGACTGGAAAAGCGTGAACCACACTTAGCACTGTCCAAGGGACTCCAGTGGACAGTCCAGACTCCATTTGTCACTCTCACATACGATATTTCATTACTCATTTCTTTACTGCTAAAATACACAGGACGGATGCCATTTTAGAAGGGCGCGAATTTGTCTAGAAAAGCTAAATAGTTGGCTTAGAGGTTAAATGTCCTGAAGGAAACTCAGCTCCAACCCAAACCCAGTGCTGCTATCCACTTCAAAGACACATGCGAAAACTGCTCTGTTTCTATACTTAGTGACCACCATGACACAGCAGACATCACGGAAGGATGGAGTCCAGTGAATCCATCATTCTCTCATAAAAATCAGGGATTTCAAAGTTCTGTTATGTATTATTATGTGGTGCGTGCGTGTGTGTGTGTGTGTGTGCGTGCGTGCGTGCGTGTGTGTGTGTGTGTGTTGATATAAGTGTATGGAGGTTGGAGGAAAATTGTAAGAGTCATTTTTTTCCTTCCACATTTATGTGGGTTCTGGGATCAGAACCTGTGAATAATGTTTTCTAGTAGAGCCGAATGCTGTGGCATCAGCTCCCAGTTACTGTGTTACTGCTCACGGCAACAGGGCCAGGTGAAGGGAAGGGGATCTGATCATTTGAGAAGCTGACAGCTATTCCTATGGGAAGGACTCCAGTGCCTTCTAAAATCTGAATATAGTCACAGCAGAGTCTTCGAGACTGCACCAGGTTATTTGGAGGAAATAACAGATCATTAATTTCATTCCTTAATGCTACAAAAGCTGGCAGAGAGTTTGGTTTGATGGGGACTGAGCCCTGCATTTATAGTCTGAGTTCACGTCTTAAGAAAATCACTGCTGCCTCCCTCCTGGGCTGCTGTGAGGATCAGATGAGATAATAGATGAGAAAGTACTTTCTAAGCTGGCAGGCACTGTACAAATTGCAGCTGTTGTGACTAAGGGCACTTGGAGCCCAGCTGTTGAATCAAACAGGCAGATTCCTCCCTCCAGCTATGGGATCATGAGCAAGTGACTTCACCTTTCTGAGCCTCAGCTACTACATCTACAACATGGGAATGAGAGTCATGGCGAGGACAGAGGAACTACCTCTACTGTGCTGGATGCATCACAGGCGCTCAGTGGCATCTGATCAATGGTAGCTCTTGTCACAAAGAATTATCTGTTGCACTCAGAATAAATGAGAAGCAAGAGGAGAAAAAGTCTTCAGAACAGTCTTAAAATGAATCAACATACCTGGATCTTCTCTTCCCAGTGATTTCTCTCTTTTGCCATTCCCTCTGTGCAGCCTAGGAAAAGGTACTCATGAGTGAGCCGAAGGCTGTCCCACAGCCATCTGAGTGAGCACCTCACAACTCACTCCCCCAATGCTGCACACCTCATTAACACAGGTGTGCCCTCCTTCGTAGTCCGACGTGGTTTGAGGGAGGAAAAGTGTGCAGCAGCTGCCCACAGTTTGACTGTGAGTCTCACAGAGTAAAACAGGTGCTTCAGGAGAAAAGGTAAAGGGCCCACTAGAAAACAGCCTGGGAACTGAAGTGGCAACCCCATTCCAAATAAAAACTAACTGATAAGGCTAAAGAATCTGCTCCTGTCACAAGGACAAGGACCCTGCTTCATAGAGAAATCACGACCTTTCTGGAGCTTCCAGAACATACCCTGATGTGGACAGACCATGCAGCTGACTTCCTCCACCCAAGGGGAATGGAAGGTCAACATAGCTTCCCCTGGAAACCACAAGAGCAAGAGGAGTCCAGGAGATTTGGGCCCAGGTCTGACAGCCCACTTCTTAGAACCTGGAGAGATGACTGGTCTAAGGCTGGTCCTAACTCAGGCAGGAGATCACAATCTCTACTTGGCCAAAGGGCTGGGAGGCCGGAGCAGGGCAGGATACTGAACATCTCATATGATGCCAGGCCCTGAACCAGTCCCCTTCCCACACAGACTCTGATGTTTCACACCAAATATGGACGACAAGCCAGCCTCTAACAACAAAGGAAAACAGGACATGAACAATGCACCACAGGTTCACACTAAGAAAGCCCTAAGGATGAAAAAGAAGCCCCAAGGTGACAGCAAATTAACACATGGTAAAACACAGATGCACAAGTTAAAGACACATGAACAAAGGCAGCCCCGAACAAAGGGGGATCCTGCAGATTCCTCAGCTGACAGAGAACTTGCATGTGGAAGTTACTGTGCAAACCGTGCAGACTGAAGAGTGCCCCACTTCCCATGAACAGTCTGATATGCTCCCCCTCCTGCTGTGCCCTGTCGCCTCACCTCAGCGTCTCTCTCCTTTGCTTCCCTCAGAGTAGCAGAAAGTCCTAGGAGTTCTCCAGATGACACATTCTCGTCAGGAGATGCCATCTGAGATTTCTCCTCTTGAAGGCACTGAATTAAAGCTTCTTTGCTCTTCAAAGACAGCTTCAACTCCTCAATCAGTCTAAAAGAGAACAAAATTTAAATATTAATTCTGAGCTGCTCTCTTAGCTCAGTGGAGCAGGAGGAGGTAGGAAGCCGGGCCAGACATCTTCAAAGTAGATGTATCCAATAAATACGCACAAACAGAACTGCATTCTCTCACAGGTCACAGAGCTTGGCCAGAATTTATGGGATGTTAATGAGTCCACGTGTCTCTAGCCTCATCCAGGAATTTAGCTCTGAGCTGCACCTGGGCTGGTCAAGTCATGCACTTTCTCAGACCTTCAGCATCCCTCACCAGCAGAAGCAGACCACTGAGTAAGAAATCCCCTCTCTGAAAGAAATCTGTCCCTGAAGTCTAAGCAAACAACCAATCAAGAGCTGTTTGGGTGGGTGTGGATTTAAAAAGCGGGGATATCTCTCCACAGCTAGCAGACAATGCTTAAAAACACCCGTCTCAAGATAACAGTCAGACTTCAGGATAAGGCATTCAGTCACCCTGCTCTTAGGTCATAACAACCGAGTTTCATTCGGACCCTGATCAGTACTCAGCAGCTCACAGACAGCTCACCCCAAAGCTTTTCGTGTTCCTCAATGCCTTTGCATATGTTATTAATACCTTCTGCCCAAACCCCTTTCTATCCTTCCTGATAAAACCAGAGTTCCTTAACTGCACCTTCCATCTCTGAGTCTGAGAGAAACGCTGCCACCTACAACCATAACGCCCTCTAGAAGATGTGAACATTTCCCTCTTTGGAACCAAACTCAATGTGCTTGATTAGCTGCTCTGTGACCAAGCTAAGTCATTCTACTTTTCTGAGCCTGTGTTGGACAACTTGAAAAAAGTACACTTCTGACATACAACTGAAATCAACAAATGACAGCTGGCATGCTACTTGTGCATGTGGGTGTGTGTGTGTGTGTGTAGGTTAGAGTACAATGTCCAAATTTTTCCTCAGTTGTGTTTCCATCTTATTTTGGCTTTGTGGGCTGGCTAGCAAGCTAGCTCTAGGGATCCGTTTGTCTCTCTGCCTTACAATGCGCGCGATGCATATCGTTACATCCAGCTTTTCATGAGTGCTGGAAATCAGAACTCAGGTCCTTGTGCTCAAATGACAAGCATTTTGTCCAGGAAACTATGTCTCCAAAACCAGCCCTGCCTGTTAAATATTCAACTGTTACTTTGTTGGAAAACTCACCAAAGAGTTCTTTGTTACCTAAGCCTAGAAAGCAACCTAGTTTTGTACAGTAGAGGCCTGGAGATTTAGCAGAGCTGCCCTCGTGAAGCACCTGGCTTCCCTGACAACAGTGAGGTGAGAAGGGAGCAGAAACACCTAGTAGTGCACTGGAATCAGAGCACCATGGGATCAGCTTGCTGGCCCAGAAACCTAAAGTGAGGCGCAATACTGCCCTCTAGGGGTTCAGCTCTGACATAATTAATAAGCAAATGGAGAGCAAAACCTCACCAAATATAAGTTTAAAAGAGAAAGTGGGCGCCTGAACTTAGACAATTAAAGGACACTGGCGGCTCAGCCCATCACGTAGGGCAGAAGTCTTGAGCTAGTAAGACACCCACAGGCATTACATCTTTGGGATCAAGAACAGTGTGAACTCACTCTTCTGTGAAATACAATATTTTAAATGCCAGCAACAAATCCAAGCTTTTAAAAATACTATTTAGTTAGAAGAAAACCTATCTATTGGCTATAGTCAACCTATAGGGCTCCCAACATGATCACCTTCAGATGCAGAACAGCTCAAAACCCAAAATGAAGAAACTAAAGTAGGGAAAATAATGACCCTTTGAAACAGATGGTGTGATGTGGGAAGGTCATTTGTCAATCTGTTGTTTCATTGGTTAATCAATAAAGAAAACTGCTTGGTCTGACAGGTCAGAAAATTAGGTAGGTGGAGTAGACAGAACAGAACGCTGGGAAGAAGGGAAGTGAGCCAGACGCCATGCCATTCCTCTCCAGGGCAGACGTGATGAAGTTCTAGCCCAAGATGGACGTACACTAGAATCTTCCTGGTAAGCCATCACCTCGTGGTGCTACATAGATTATTAGATATGGGTTAATCAAGATATGAAAGTTAGCCAAGCAGTGTTTAAAAGAATACAGTTTGTATGGGCCAAGCAGTGTTTAAAAGAATACAGTTTGTATGTTTTCTTTTCCAAATGCTTTATTTTATTTTATTTTTTTGAGACAGAGTATTTCTGTAGTTTTGGTGCCTATCCTGGACCTATCTCTTTTATTTATTTGTTTATTTGTTTGTTTGTTTATTTATTTATTTAAGATTTCTGTCTCTTCCCTGCCACCGCGTCCCATTTCCCTCCCCCTCCCCCAATCAAGTCCCCCTCCCTCGTCAGCCCAAAGAGCAATCAGGGTTACCTGCCCTGTGGGAAGTTATTTTGGGTGCAAATCGAGCCATGCAGGAGCCGAGCAGGACGAAAAGCAGAACTGCTTGTCTCAACACTACAGTGGTGGGAATCCAGCAAGACACTGGCAGTAACCATGCAAGTAGAGGCCAGACCCCAAGATTCACCAGCTCGCCATGCCCAACAGCAGGTTCCTCTGTGTGGCTGATCAGATCCATGTCACCTGGATATAAATAATGACCCTTGCTGCTGTGCTGGGCTAACCTTGTGACCTTGACTTAAATATGGGCTAAGTGAGATTTTGTTCCTAGAGATTTACCAAATGGTTATATCCTAATGGAAAAATCAAGGTGACATCTGGCTGCTGGTCTCTGGGAGTTTAACTGGGACACCTACACTGCTGAGATTGAAAAAATGGTAGACCTGCAAGCCAGGTTTCTATACCTGTCTAGCCAGACCTGTGCACATGCCAGGAATCTAGAAACCCATACATCAGCTTGCCCACATCCCCTCATGCTCACCTCCCCAGCCCTCACCTGCCCTACCCCTCACTTCTGCTTGCCAGCACCTCCCCTGGCCCTCACCTCATCCATACCACCACTTGTCTGCCCCTCCACATACCCCCTCCATTCACCCTCTCCTCTACTCATGCCCTCTCTGCTCACCCTCCCCTCTACTCGCCCCCCCCTTTACTCACCCTTCCCTCCATGCACCCTCCCCTCCACTTGCCCCCCCTCCACACATAGATGCTCACAGACGCCAGAGCTCCTGTCCTAACTGGAAACATCATCCTCCTATTTCCCAAAGCCCTTAAAGCCCACTGTGTCCATTTCACCTTCTATCACCTGTTCGCCTCCCTCCCATCCCAGACTTGCGGTCTCAGTTGTCATCATCTATCTGGATGTCTGCATCAGCATGAGAGCCCTGTGACAATCCATCCCCAAGGCAAGCAAAGAACTGCAATAAACAAAAATCTAATCATGTAGGTTCCCCAAGCTCCCCCCTTAACTCTTCAATGATTTTCCTATGCCCTTCAGATGAATCGATTCTTCCACAAGGCCCAGTGGCCTGTCCAGCATATCCACACTGTATACGCTACCTCCCTGTTAACTAATTAGCAGTCAAGACTGACAGAACAGTTCCGTGATGCTCACAATCAAGAAAACCTTATACAGTCACCCAACAGTGTATCATGCCTGTGTCATTTACCACACTTCACGCCACCACATATCATCTCACATCATCACAATAAAGTTAGCCTGAAGGATACTTAAAAGAAATCCCACACTAGCTCAGAATTGAGAAATAGACAGTTATTTATTTAGGGGTAGATTCACAAATCAGAATCTCTGCTTGAATGGAGATCAGAAACCAAATCCCACACCTAGAAAAGAGGTCGGGTGCATGGTCTACATAGGCATATATAGTATAAGAGGCTATGTCCCAGTGGGCAGATAACCAGTGGCTGTAAGACTTCCTATAACACCTCCCCCTTCTGTTTAAATAAGAGAGTTCTAAGCCTAATACAAAATTATATACAATAAGAACAAGTACATTCAATTATTATATTATCCTAAATATAATATAATTTATATTATAAATCTTGTATAATAAATAACTTGGCCAAGACATGAGAGAAAAGTAAGTGCAACTATCTAGTCTTCAAACCCCATCAAATATCTGAGAAGGGAAATAATATTACTTGAGTAAGCAGGAAGTACAATCAAGCAACTTTCAAAATGTGCAACAAATGACAGACACCACTGGCTACCTGGGCAATCACCCAAAATCTCATTTGCAACATTGAAGCAACCAACTTTGGCTAAGGCCTAGAATAAATGAGAGACCATTTTCAGAGGCAGGAATTTTTTCAAAACCGTCTTACCCTGTCTTGGCAAGATTTGACAGTCCTGCTTATTCATTTCTGGATACCATATACCTTGTCAGTGGTTGAGGCATGGACATTTCTTTGACCAAAGGCCAGTTTTGCCAAGAAGAAAACAACCTCCAAGTGGAGTGTCTTCAGTGCTCAACACTCCCTCAGGAATAGATTGGTGCTGCCAGGAGCAATAGTGTCTCACTTCAACAGAACCTTAAATCATTTAAATGCCATATCCTATAGATCTTTAAAGTGGTTGAAGATTATCTAGGTAGAATATAATCTCTATGTATCTGAAGAACCTGATTAGTCTAACTATAAGTATGACAAACATAGATGACTATTGATCTATAATTCTTAATACCTATATAACTTAAAGACTAAGATTTCATATTAGAATATTATACAATAAACTGTGCAACAAATAAGGGCAATGACCTCAAAATGTAAACAATGTATAAGTATCTTGATCAGAGGTAGAAATGTACAATGCAATATGATAAATATATATAAATATATAAGAATATTTTAAGCAGAGGTAGAAGCATACATGCATACAATATTCAATATAATTTTACTGTGTATCAATATACAATAATCTATACCAATGTAATTGCCTATAAATAATAACTCACAAGTATGCACTCTATTACTCACTATTATTATTAGTGGGAGTAAGCTCATACTAATCTATTATACCATCCAATTTTCCCTTCTTTTGTTCAAAGAAATTCCTTTTGTTCAAATTATTTTGTTCAAATAAAAT